ACGTGTGCAGCTCGGCTGGAATCCCACAATGGCTGCGCCCGCTCGTTGTTGTGCGGAGAGTTTCTGGCAATGTTGACCATGTGCCTTTCACTGTGTGGATGACGAGCTGGCCTGCGGCAATTCGCAAGGATGGCAGCTGAAGTCGTCAATCACAATGACATCCGCGCTGCTGAGGTAGGTTTTTACCTCGCTGTAGGAGGCATAACGAAGCTGCAGTGCGGCGAACCCCTGCGTGAGCAGAAGCATATGAGCACTGCTTTCTGAGGGAGAGGCAAGACGTGCGGTGCGCCCCGTGAGTCCTGGCTGTGTCGTGGCAATGTCCTCTAAATCTGCCGCCTGGTGTTCGGCAGCTTACAGGGGACCCACGGCAACCGGCGGCGGTCAAGGCGAGATCACTCTGGTCCGACTCATTGCCAAGCCCGTCGGCATTCGTGGAGTCGCCCAGCTGGCTCCACAGCCTGTCTCTCCGAGCCGACTCGCCGCGCGCTTCGAGACATGATGCAGTCTACCCCGCAGGAGCCACTTCACACAGTCAGGTGGACGAGCCTGGGGCACCGCCACAATGGCCATCGGGACGCTGGAAGTGAGGAGGAAGTTGAGGTCAGTCTTGACTTGGATCAGCAAGAGCTCCGTGGGTGTCGGGTCACCCGACAAGGGATGAAATACTTCATCTCTTATTCTGGAATCACCTGATTGTGTCTGCTCACACCCCGACCGACTCACGACAGTGTCTATTGCGGTGGATTTTCTCCACCAGTCGACGTCCCATAGTGAGGCGACGCTGTGCTACTTCAACCGTCTGTCAGCTGTCGGTGCAATACTTGCACCGGCCAATACAGCTATGCAAGCTGAAGGCCTGGCCTCCATCAATGGAGTTTGCCTAAATTTAGCCCTGGTTGCCTCTACAGTACCAGGCTGTTGGCCGACCTTTACCTGCTTATCACAGCCGTCAGATACCCCCAATCCATTATTATGCACAGGGCCTGTGACGTCTCGCCATGCCCGATTACCATTGGCGAGCTCGCTGCGGATACTGCTGCAAGGCGACTCCAGAGGGTTGCGGCGGATGGCACTCAGCAGCCAGGAGTGTATTTCGTCCGCCTACCAAGGCATACATCCTCGGCCATGCACCCTGAAGGCCTTGTGGAATTGCTCTGCGTCCTTCTGGTTCTCGCCTACAATGTCTGCGGGCATCGTTTTGCATTTTTGATTCCCTCAAGCATGGTTTAGGCCTCAGCAACGCGCGCCCTGCCAACGCCGACACTGGTGACGCGCACCGGGTAGTAGCTGAGGGCACATCCTTTGCGGAGTTCATATCGGACTGGTTGCCAGAGCTCCCGCCCCCGGGACAACTCGCCACCCAAACGCAGGCCACAACCCTCTTCTCCTTCTTCTATGATCATCACAACGAACTGGGCGCCTTTGTTGACCTTTTCACCACTACGGTGTGTGCAGGCACTACGGGGGCGGTCGACATCTGCATTATCGACAGGGCCGGGCGCTTTACCATGACAGGAGAGGATGCCCATCAGCGGCTCACGGCCGGCAGCACGCGGCCCACGGGCCCATTGATCATCGCCTCCCCCTCTCATTGGTGGGGCATTCCCGCTGCATTGGAGCTCCACTCTGTCCTTCATCATACCCATGTCCAATGGGAGGAGTTGTACAGAGCCTATGGGCTCGCCAAGCTTGGGATACCCAGCCCCCCACGTGAGGACGCCAAGGAGTGACACCGAGTGCCCCATCTTCGGACTGCTGGAGACTGACCCGCCGAGGTTCGGGCTCCATCGCCTCCGTGAACACAAGGGAGGGGGCGTGCCTCCCCCCAAAAGGTGCGCTCCGCTCCACCCACCACCGGTCGATCTTCGGGTCACGCATGCCTTGCGCTGAGCCAGCGACCGTGTGCCGGGGCCAAGCCGGTGCTACGGAGTCGACAGTCATTGCCGTGCCGGGAGCCTTCTATCTCTATGCCATCGCCTCTGACACGGTCAACACCAAGCTGCTTGGGAGGCTACAGCGTTATGTGTCGTCGCACATACGCCTTTCCTGCCCTGAAGCGGCCTTGCTACCGCCTGTGGCTACCACGGGCCTTCCACGCGCCCTATATGATCCGGCGGGAGCAGTACGCCCGGACCCTGACACCGGAGTGCCTGCCAAAGAGGATCCGACGCTGACCGCCGAGCTGCGCAGCCAAAGCTGTGCTGTCTCCCTTCCGGTTGCACCTACCGCCACATGGACCCAACGTGTGGCGGATCTTTTGGAGGCGGTCGAAACCCCGCCTCGTCGCATTGTGCCAGGAGTTACTTCAATTGCCAGCCGGTGCGTACCGGCAGAGGATGAGGATGAGTTTGCAGAGCAACATGACACCCTCCGGCGTTACCAGGCTAGGGGCAGAGTTCAGCAGCCGGTCGATGGAATACACTGCGCCGGGGCGCTACAGCATTTACTCCCCAGCTCTACGGATTGCCTTACCCTGCTTTCCCTCCCCTTGTCGCTGCCCGCCTGTGAAGTCAAGCTCAGCCCTCAGAACTTTGGGGTGAAGGTTGTTGATTTTGCTGACCGGGCACTCATGCTACGGCGCTGCACTGATGACGAAGCATTTCGCGTATGCTTGACACCCATGCTGGCAGTGTCCGTCGCACTAGCACAGTTCTGTGATCCAGTTCTACGCCTGCCTGAAGGACAGGTTTTCGACCTTTCCTGGTATGAACTTGCCCGTCCTGAAATTTGGTGGTGGCTGCTCCTTGATGAACTCGCGGGACTTAAGGGCTCGCTCCCCCGGGCTCTCGAAGGGCGGAAGTCCCCCGTCCGGGATGGCAGCCTGGTGCAGATGTCCTTGGCTCCCAAGCGTGACCCCACTGCCAAACCAGATCCACTGCCAGCAAATAGCCGACGGGGCGCTGGTTCTAGCCAACGGCGCAACGTTGGGGGAGGCAGCACGAGTGCTGAGGTGACACAGGGCACACCATTACTACATTGCGGCGTGCTGCTGCCCGTGCAGCTGTTATTCTTCCTCACCCGAGCACTAGCCGACGATCCTTCGGCCGCCCCACTTCTGCAGCTCACCAACGTTACCCCATCCCGAGACGGCCAACATATTGAGGTGCGGGTTACATGCAAGGTTCCAGCTGACTTGGTAGGCCGTCCTCAGATTGCCATTGCGGACCGATTGATGGCGGGTTTTGAGAACGGACTTTTTGTGGCCAGACGCGGTGAGTTTGAACCGCGCATGTTCACGTATCCTGGCTCCTATCGCGGCACCTTTCGACTGCTCTTCCCCCTTGCGGATATTCCGCTAGGGTTACAAGCTCAGCCGTCGCTTGCGATTCAAGCTGCCGGGTTACTGCACAGCGCCCTGTGGCGTCTTCGCCTTCGCGCCGCGGCCACCTCCGGAGGCTGGGATCTCCGCGCGGTTGTCGCCTACTGGATTCGTGGGCCGCAAAAGAAGAAATTTTACTTTCCGACCCGCCTGTGGCGCTATTCGCACTTCGACGCAGTGGAGGCCAAAGCGACGGCTCTCCTTCAAAGGTTGGTCGCCCAGAAGGAGGGACGAGCACAGCCACCACCGGATGGCACCCGTCTCTGGATCAGTCTGGGGCACCCTCAGGCACAGGACCGCTGGAAGGCTGCGGCGGATGAATTCCAAGGGCAAAGCTGCCGAGAAGGGCCAGGAGAAGGGAAAAGGCAAAGGAAAGGCAGACAACACTCCAGGGACAGCTGCCGAGAAGGGCCAGGAGAAGGGAAAAGGAGAGGAGAAGGGCAAAGCCGCCGAGAAGGGCCAGGAGAAGGGAAAGGGACAGGAGAAAGGCAAAGCTGCCGAGAAGAGCCACGAAAAGGGAAAGGGAAAAGGAAAAGAATACGGCAGTCTAGGAACAGCTGCCGAGAAGGGCCAGGAGAAGGGAAAGGGAGAGGAGAAGGGCAAAGCAGGAGAAGGGAAAAGGAAAAGGACAAGCAGACAACACTCCAGGGACAGCTGCCGAGAGGGGCCAGGAGAAGGGAAAGGGAAAGGAGAAGGGCAGAGCTGCCGAGAAGGGCAAGGGAAAGGGCGAAGCCGCACCGGGCAAGTGGGGTCTCGTTACCTCCGAAGGCTTGCGAAATCTTCTCTGGAAAGGCTTCGATGGCCCAGTGCCAGAGAAAGCCTTGGGAGGTCGGGGGCTCATGTCTTGGCATGCATATATGTTGTATACACACCTACACACGCAGCATGCATGCATGCATGCATGCTGATAAAACTGTGCCTCTTTGGCTAGCCAGCTGGTCATATCATAGTACAACTAAGGTGGCCGAGGCTCCGGTGATGGTGCCCGAGGCTCCGGTGATGGTGCCGGTAACCAGCAGAAGAGAACCCGGGCCGATGCTGGTGGAAAGAGCGAATCCAAAGGCCGATCTCGAGGGACCGGGTCCTTGGAATGAAACTTTATATAAACCCTAAGCCCTAAACCCTTCTCGGAAACCCTCAACCCTCAATCGTGGTGCTGGGGTCGGTTTTCAGCTTCTTGGTCTTTCTGGAGACCTGTCTATTTCTGTTCTGTTTCCAGCAGGCAAAACAGTGGAGCCCCAGCAGGAGGACAACCCCAAGAGGTCGCCGAGCTGTAGTTTACTGCATTCGTTGCTGCTGCTCCTCGACTCATGGGGGACCGCATCATCGGACGTGGATTCACAGGAGCCGGCCCAGTCGAGCACTCCCGACAAGAAGGGTTTCATCTTCAAGGGGAACCCGAATGCTGTTATTTTGCTCAATTAGTTTTAATTCCTGGCCTTGTTTGCATCTTTGCTATACCCGCCAAACCCTCAGCCCCATAACCCGCTGCAGGCTCGGCATCTGTCGGAGGAGGACATCCGGGAGATTGAAGTGGCTTGCTTCCAACTATAGATTGCAAATAATATAACTTCGCAGTTAGAAAACTCTTCCACGAGTTGATGGTTCTAAGGCTTTGCAAGGACCCGAGGATATCGAGCTGACTGAACGAAAGCGGCTCAACGAGGGCCTCAGACGCCGCATGAATTCTGCACAAGGCTCGCATTTCGTGTAGCAACCCGAGCCTCGCCCCCCCAACATGATGTAGGGTTTAAGGGTTTAGGGTTTAGGATAAAACTTCAAATTTGCCACGAGGACTACGGAAAGGATTGGTTGAACAGTGGCAGGCGGCGGTGTCGGCGACGGACAAGTGCCCAGCCATCACCTTCACCCTAAATCCACTATGGGCTATTAGACCTTATGGGTACCTTAATCTACCCTTAATAGGGTCCTAATAGGGATCTTTAGGGTCTAATAGCCCATAGTGGTTAACTTCTTAAAGCCCAAACATCCTGAAACCCTAAAGCCCTGCTCCCTTAACCCAGGTTTGCTTTCTTGAAAGCTTATTTGCTCGATCGCGACATGCAATCGATCGAGATCCAGCCCTACTTCGAAGAGCCGCTGGTCCGAACAACCTTAAAGCCGAAACACCCAACCCGCAACTCATCCAAGGCTTTCCGAGAGCCAGAATACGGAACAGTTCATCGAGCTGCCTCTTTGCGAGATCAAAGAAAAGTACGAGAAGCTGCCTGGAGGCGACAAGTTTATCGCTGACCTGATCAGCAGTCGCCGCCCAAGATTCCGGGAACTGACTCGTTTGGTTTAGGGTTCAGGGTTTTGGGTTTTGTTTTTTTGTAGATCCCAGGTCAGAAAGGCAAGGACCACCCGCAAAGCACCGATCCCAATTGGAAGATCTACAAGGTCTTCAACTGTGTCAAAAAACAAGAGACGCCCGACTGCATTCTGGTGCTGTTTGCTTGTCTCACATCTGACACGTTCCCAATCTGCAAATCAGAATCCCGCCGAGATTCCCAGATCAGCCGCTCCGGCTCCAAAACGAAAGCGACGATCAAGCCGTCTCAGAACGCCAAAGAACGCCAGGCCTTAGTGGATACTCTGGAGGCCAAGGTGAGTTCGATGGGCAAGAATTCCGTCTCCGCCGATGCAAAGCCCAAGGTTAAAGCAAAGGCGCAGAAGGCCAGTGAGGGGAGATAAGGAGAGAGAGGGAGAGAGCTACTGTGATCTTAGCCGTGTGCGACTCTACATATCAACACCTTACAGTCTAAATTGTTAACCCTAAACTCTAAACCACGAACCCTATAAACCCCAAACCGCGCCGTAAACCCCATATCCTAAACCCCAACCCAGACTGTGGCCTGCATGTAGCCAAGCCTAGACACCACGAAGCCCTGAGTTTTCCTAAACCCCCGCATGCAGCCCCATATACCCCGAACTCTCACACCTCCGAATAACAAACCGGTGCCTCTTGAGGAGCTGACGGCGGACGAGAAGATGAACAAGGACTTTCAACGTGATCACATGGGGTTCCGAAGCTATATATTCGCTTGCCTGTTGCCACAGCATGCATGCAAGCCCAACTCAGGGTACGTGCCATGTCTGATAAAGCCGTTCTGCTGGCCACCTCGATTACGACTTGTGGCATCAAAAACCAGGAGGCAGGGCTCAGAGCCTGGGTCATGTCCGCAGGCTTCACATTCATTGCACCAAAATCCAAAACCCCCTCAGAGATCCCCAATTCAAGCCCGAAAGTGTGCTTGCCTGATCGGCAGAAAATGGTGGGGCACCTGGGTGAGATCTCGACGGAGTGCATGAACATATTCAACGAGATGTTCGGAGTACTTTAATCTGCGACCAGTCGCTGCTGCATGCCTGATCGATCGAGTCATGTTTGAATATGTGTGCATGCATCAATCCGAGGCTTCAGAAAATGGTTTTCGCCTGCACGCCTGTGGAGGAATGCATTGCTGCCCTCGAAGAGTACAAGCCGACAATGGAGGCTTCCGTGTATATGTTGTATAGAAGCCCGCAAGAAAACCTAATCCCTAAGCCCTAGAACTCTAAACCCTAGACCATCATATTTCCACAGCCTTGGTATCTTATGCAGGCAGGGGGCAAGATCATCACAGATGCAGAAGACATCGTCGATTCCCACAAACGCCGCACTTTGGCCTCCAATGTATAAGATGTACATGATGTGCACGATACACCTCTCCCTCTGCAGGCCTGGCTGCAGAGAAACGCAAGCGAGAGAAGGAAGAGAAGAAGAAAAATAATCCGGATGGAGAAGAGATGGACGATGACGCCTGCGAAGAGGACGATATGCAAGAGGACGATATGCAGACCGGTGGCAATGCCGCCGATGATGACTGGGGCGAAGAGGAGGAGCCACCTGCAAAGCGGGTGAAGTGAGCTCATGGCTTTTTTTCCTGGGGCTGGCAGGGTCAGAGTGTGCCTGGTGTGCAACAGGCACGATGCATAAAACTACGCCGGCACTGCAACATGCAACACTTACGGGGACACGGAGCACTCGAGACCCTGCCACGTACATGCATAGACGCATGGCTTCTGTGTTCCGGCTACTGCGAATACTCGTGATGAGTCCGCAATAAAAGAATTGAATCCTTAGCAGTCGCTGCTTGCAGACCCATGCAGTATATCAAGACCATCAGTGCTTTGCCGCCTGAGCTTGCCACCCAGGTGGCCCATCTGCTGTGTGATCATGGACAACCGTATAAGCACAAACCTAAACTGTAAACCCTAAACCTATAAGCCCAAGCCCCGAAGCCTGATCAGAAACACGAGCCCAGTCCCTAATGTATCCTAATGTGGTGTCGCACCATGACATACATTGGTGGACCCCGTGCACCTTAAACAAACTTAAATCCTAAACCCCACACCCACACCCCAACTGGCCCCTAATATGTTTCGGACCCAAAACATATAGATTCAAACCCTCCAACTTTGTTGATGGCCACTTCTTCGAATGATGCTGGCGATTACATGCGACACTATGTGCAAGAGACCTGCGACCAATGCTTGAAACATCTTTCCCTGGGACAGGTGCAGGTTTTTTGCATGATCCTTATAACATCATATGATCAATGATACCCCTCCCCGCCCCCCCAAACCCTGAAGGTTCCGTTGAAAGATGTGGCGACATCCTTGCAGAGAGTTTACAAGCTCCCACATTCTCTGGTGCCGCACCTCGTCCGTTATGAATGTAGTTGGGCCGGACTCAGTCAAGTCATCCTCCGAGGCCTGATTTGCTGGATTTGGCCGCGGCATTTCGTGGGGAAAATAGTTCCTGGGGTCAGATGCGACTCTTGGAACGCTGGATACACAAACAGCCTTGGAGGAAGGCCTTGCCGATGACATTTCAGAGCCCAAGCTGCATTGCTCCGCCCCAATCACAGCTACATATCTTCCGAACACACGAACCAAGGTTCCCCCTCACAGCCTACTACCTGGATGCTCGTGGGCCCAGGACTCGAGAGGTCAAACACCACATGCTTCTTCCTCACGAGATTTTCGCTTCGCTGCATGATAGTGGTCATGCAGATCTGCTTTACAAGAGCTCTCAGCAAGCTGCTAGCCTGGATCGCAGGGATAAACTGAATCCTAATAAAACCCTTAAACACCCGAAACCCTGAAACCCTAAGCCCTCGATCCGTGTCTCGATCTCGAACGCTTTGCATTCTTCTGTTCAATCCAAGGTTCGGGATTACTGGGCAGATCAAGATCAGCAGTGGTGCCGGGATCATCCGATCCTGACGGTTCCACAGCTGGAGGTATGTGCCGTGTGTTGGTCTAGCTTCAACAAGACGAAACTCAGGTATCCGACTGGGGAGACTGTGTGCCGCTACGCCTCTATGGCGATGGGGCAGAGTTCACCAGCAGCCCGTTTGCAAACACGTTTTGTGACATGATGTGCAATGATCCCCTAAAGCTATGCCTTCATTCTTGTCCCAACCGAGAAAAGCAGAAATTCGAGATGTTCTGCTTGATCTCGCCGCTTAGTGAATCTTCCACGATGGATAACCGATTCTCGCGACTGGACTGCAGCTATTCGAATCGGTGTCTAGGCGAACCGTATGATCCTGCATCCGAGGCTGTCTTGCATCAATATGATGTATCACAATGATGACTCCAGATGGGCCATTTTGGAAGTTTTGTCCTGGTCCATGGAATCTTTAGCAAGCGGCCGGTATCCGACAGCCGACCCCTGGGGCAATGTGTTCAGCTGCAGCTACGAGCCCGCCCGATGGAAGGTCGCAGGCGAATGGCTAGCAGGAGGCAAATGCGGGATCCTTGATGGCTTCCAAGCCGACCTGGAGTTCATCAAGAAAATCTTCTTCTTGAAGCGAAACTCAGCCTCACTGATTGTTTTCGCTAAACCCTATAAATATTCTAAGCCCTAAACCTACCGAACCCTAAACCGACCGAAGTACTTGCCGCCGATTTGAGGCGACTACACCCGAAAGATGTGCTGTTTCTTGTGTGAGGCGGGATCATACTTGTGCTACGAAGTTGTAGTATGTACATCGATGCAAGCCCGAGATCCCGAGAGGCGCTTCAATGGACTTATGTCAGCGGTGATCCGGATGGGGCTCCCAACGATCCCAACTTGCTGTACACTAATTTCGGTGAGCAGGCTCTACACCGGCAGACGCTTGTGACCAGTGCTGACCAGTTTCGCCAGATCCATGGGTCGAGCCCGCTGACCCTGATCAGTGGCTTCTGCCCATGGCGAAGCTCAGAAATCTGTTGGCATTTTTTCAAGGTTTAGGTTTTTGTATGTGTAGGGTTTAGGTTCTAGGACTTGATATAGAGCTAGAGTTATATAACTCTTTTGGAACCCGGAACCTTGAAACCTTAATTCAGGAATAACCCGCTTTGTCTGGATTGAGGCATCTGGCCGGACATAATGCACTTGTTCCACCTGGCCATATATCCCGATATTTTGGGCAGCCTGCTGTGTGACTTGAGCGATGGGCCGGCATCTCAACGGGAATCCGAACTGTCGGCACTATGGGAGTCTTACCGAAGCTGGTGTGAGGATGCAGGCTCGAACATGCATGGGCCTGAGACCTTAAATAAGCCACCCTAATATATTCCCTATAAACCCTATAAACCTATATAAACCCTACGACCTCAAGTATGGAGCTTGTCACAGGAGTGGTGGACCGTGCCAGCAGAAAAGTCTTTACCACTGGCACCCTTCATCCTACTTCCAAGGAGTACTTGAACATATCGCAGAAGCATGTCAGTGCAACAGCAGCACGGTATGCAATTTTCTGGATGGCTCAGCTTATGTCACACTTGATGACACAGCACCCGGGCGATCGCTTCTACGAGATCTTTGGCCAAGTTTGAAACCCAAACCCTAAACCTTGAACTTAACCCCTAAACCCTAAACCCTATCCTTATAAACCTAAACCCTATAACCCTATCTACCAAACCAGAGTTTAAATCTCAAGCCTATCATCCCAAGGATTCGTGCTGGTGTGTGTATGTCCCTTGCCACTCTCGAGACCATCATGCTGAAATCAGGGAGAAGGCTGTGTGATGATGCTGTTCAGACTATGAGAGCGGCCTACATCATCTTTCGGTCCGGATACTCCCGCTTGAACGAATCAGCATTGGCGGCAGGTGTTTGTCGATGGCCGGTGCGGCCAAAAAACCACATGGCCGAGCATTGCTTCTTCGATACTTTACCGATGAACCCGAGATACCTGCACAATTATCTCAGCGAAGACTTTATAAGGCGGTGCAAACTAATCGCCAGCGGTTGTCAGCCTGCACTTCTTGCGAAACACGTGTGCACAAAGTATGCACTCCAGACCTGCATGCGGTGGCGGTGATGAAAACGATCGCCGAGATTCCGCCAGAGAGCTCTCTGTCGCTGTCGCCGTCTCTGTTCTTTCCCTTGCCCTCTGGGGTGTGTGTCTCTCTCTCTGTGTGTGTGTGTCTGTGTGTGTGTGTGAATATCTTATGAAATATACACACATATGCACATATGTACACACACACACACCCATACAACATGATAGAAACACATTATACAAATTCCACAAATTAATGAAACCGCGACCGCAGACCAGTACACAAACGATGACGAACATGACGACAACAACGACGACCACGACTGCGAACTTCGACTACGACCACGACGACCACAACAACATTTTTGAGCAGGAAACATATAGGGCACCACAGAAATACAACAAGGTTGCTGTAGGCACGACAACTTGAGATCCACGTTTACACCGAAAACTGTGAATTTTCACTCCACTGAACACAATTCTGCGCCAGATCAGCAGCTCCATCGCAATTTCCGGAGCATGTTGTATACGTGACGGCAAAGTTCCAGGACGTGCATGTTCTGCGATATTTTTCATCGATCCAATATCGAGAAGTGAAAAACCAAGATTTAACCATCGAATAAGCTAACCGATGGTTCTTTTGTTGAATGATGCTTGCTATGATGTCGAACAGCCCGCGCTGGAACGTCCGGGGGGCAGCCCCTCGACGTCCGCTGAAGTGCGCATTGACTGCTCCGGCGCCAGTACATTTCGCGCCCCGGCTCGCAACGACGCTTGGCAGATCATGTGTTCCACGCAGTGCTACGGCCCCACTGGGTGTCTTGCGGGTGTCTTGCGGAGACGTTTTCCAAGTTGTTTGCGACGGCTTCTGCGAGGCTCAGTTCGGCGGGTCGGTATACCAGCCTTTTGCTTTCCCCCCTGCCGGTTATCCAGTTAGCGCACGCTATGTTGGACGTTAAGTTCACTGCTTCCAGCCCGGAAGCTAGAACGATCGTCACACAGCTCCAGAGGGCACGACGCAGCTCCCACTTGCAGGATCCACATTCCGCGTGTCTGGCGGCCCTGTGCATTGCCTTTTCAAGTGTTGGCCCAGCGCGGCCTGCCGTCCGTGGCTTCTCTGCAGGCAGCTACACGGCGGGTCCTGTGGGAGTGCTCCTCCACATAGTCACTTCCCTCCCGTGGATTTGACCGCCGCCTCCGGGGGAGTCACGGACGATGCTTCGCTGCCAGCAGCCGTGGACATTGGTGCCGTTGGCATGCCGGACTGGCTGTTTGAGGCACTCCTGCGCCTCCCCTGTAGGCTGCGCATCATCCATGCTAGCGAAGACTTCTTGTGCCCTTGGGTGCTCACTGATTTTGCTCGGGCCGCCATACGGGTCGCCCCAGGTATTCGTGCGGGAGGTATGCATTGGTTAGTCAATGTGCCGGACGAGCTTTTCGGGCCTCAGTGCCACAACTACTCCCACTTGCTCCTGCGTACTGACCAGACACTGCCGGCCCAGGTGGATGTCGCTGCCGCACGTGCCTTCCTCCCCATGCGCAACCTGGAAAAAGAACTGGAGTGGGCCTTCCACTCCCTTCATTTCTACCGTAGCAGGGGTCTTGTGGATAGCGAGGTTGGAAAGGTCATGGATGCACTCTTCCCGCACCGCGTCACTGTGGAGGTAATCAAGCAGCTTGTTGCCATTGATTCCCTGCCCCCGCATCTTCTTGGGGTCATCCGCACCGTCACGGCAGCCTCTCTACCACATTGTGTCGCGGAGCTGCGCACCTGGATCATTCAGGAGGTAAGGCTTCGATGTTATGAGGAGGAAAAGTCGGTCAGCCTGCCATTGCCTGCTCCCGTCCAGACTTCCCTCGGAGAGCTGTCGCTTGAGCGTGTCGTGGATTTTCTGCACTTTCATGTCTACAGCCAAGGCGCTGCTCTTGAGGATACTGGGCAGGAGAACAGACGGATGTCGCACCAGGACACTACCCGACGCTTCGCCCCATCGTTACCGGTTGTGCTGAAGGTGGAGGACTGTCTCAGCTTTGGCACATACGTGCTTGGCTTGTCGTGTCCCGATGGCTTTACGCCATCGCAGGACACTGGCTGGTTCTCGCATCGCCAAAGCGGCAACCGGCCCCCCTCCGAGGGTTGTCTTCTGCGGATGGAGTTTCGTCAAGGGCACCTCCTGGCGGTCTTCGTAGAACTTGTGGTTCCTGACAAGGTCCGTGGTAAAACCCGCGAGCAACGCAAGGCACAACGACGCCTCAACCGCCTTAACGCCATTGCCGCTCTCCTGCTCGTCAGCCAGTGGCCCGCTTTTCTTGGGGCCTCCCCGCAACATGACCATGTTTGCCGTTGGGACCTCTCCTTGCGCAGTGTGTCGTGTATTAAAGTTGGGGGGGCACTTGACGTCTTTCTGCAAGTCCTGAAAATGCCTGCAGCGCGTGTCCCCCTGGCCATTGGCATGCCCGTCCGGCCGTGCACCCAACCTGTGCCGTGGCCTCGGTGCCACTCACCTTGTGCTGTCTTTCCTGCAAGCCGTGGAGGCAGCCGCCCAAGCTCCTCACTTCCCAGCTCCCCCTGACTTAACACCAGCCCAGTTTGTCGCACTCAGGCAACGCATCCTCGCCCTCCATCCGGTGGCCGAGCGCTCTAATCCCCGGGATCCTTTCAGCAAAGACTGGCGTTTGCCTGCGACTTTGATTCCGCCTGAGTTGCACACCCTAGCCGCCCTTATGGGACAGACTTTTTGTCGACACATCGCTGAGTTGCTCGCCAGTCCGGACGGCCTTCTTATTGGGCACATCTCGGCCATCCTGGCTGCCCGTGCTAGCAAACGCAGCTCGCTTGGTATTTTGGGCTGCGCGGGATCCTCCAAAACCTTCTCCCTATGGTGTGCACTGGTCTGCATGGACACTGTGTTGGAGCAAACTGTGTTTTGGACAGCTCAGCAGCATTCTGCACTCATCGCAGTCGTGCGTATCGCTTCCAACCTCTTGGCTGATGCCCCGGAATGGTTACGCCCGCTCATAGTCGTACGGAGGGTCTTTGGCGATGCTGAAATGATCGACACGTGCTTCGACCATGTGCCCTTCACCGAAGCAGCGGAGCATAAGGCGGCAGGGCTCGGGGACATCGCCACGATCCAGCCGGGGGTGAAGGGGCACAGTGCGCGTCATGCTTCCCCTTCGGTCAGTAGCGCCCACATGCTACTGCTCACACAGGGGTCAGCCGCGCTTCAGCTCCGCTATGCCTCCTACAGTTGAAGAATTTCCTCAACAATGCGCATGTCATTGTGATCGACGAGGGGCAACAGGAGGGGCAGCCTTCCTCAGCTGCCATTCTGGCCAATGCAGAGTGCCAGCTCGTCATTCGCACAGGTGACCCCCGACAGCCTGCTGGAGGTGGCAAAGGTGAGGTGCAACTGCGCACGCTGGCCCGCCTCATCGCCAAGCCTGTTGGCATCCGTGGAATTGCTCAGCTTGCTCCTCAACCCGTTTCCCCGGGGCGGCTGGCCGATGCACTGCGTGGCTTGGTACACTCTACCTCCCCGGATGGGCCGCTGCACACAGTTCAGTGGTCTAGCCTTGGACACCGACACAATGGC